ATATCGAATAAAAAGCCCAAATTAGAAAAAATACTTTCTAAAGACGACGTCATGATGGGCGTGTGAAACAGAAGCCCATTCACCAGTACCACAATCTACCCCTACATCATAATTTCAATCGAGTTATGGCCAGTGAAAATGACACATAATTAACGAGGACAAAATTATCAATCGAAACTTAAAAACATATAAGTATAAAAGTATCAATAATATAAGCGAAATGGATAACAAAAACTGCATAAAATTCTCTCTCAAGTGTTGAACATCCATAAGAGCATAATAAAGATATAAAATAAAAATAGGGATTCATGTAATGATCGCTAAACAAAACCATGGATCTTTCTTCTTAAGTCATTCTCTGGGCAGCTTCCTTGGCAAGAACTCTCTCCTTAGCTTTGGTCTTGGCTTGAGACTTTGATCCCATTATGCCTCCTCCCCACTTCTTCCTGTACTCCTCGTACTTGTCGTTGAAGTTGGCCTAAACAAACAAGTTAAAACAATACGGTTAAGTCTCTACTAGAATATGTTTTTGCTCTAGCATTTCCATTGTCATGAGTTGATTGAGATTATTATTACCTTGATGGCTTCAAGGATTTTGCTGAACTCCATCTTGTCCTCGCTCTTCACAGTGGTCAAACACAAACAAGCAGCAGTCTTCTGGTGAACGAGCTGCAAGTAGAAACAAACCGGAATAAACCAGGGTTAGAGTTAAGCATCGAAACTTTAATGGGGTTTAGAATCCATGGGAGTGGCGAGTTGTATTACCGCTCCAAGACGAGATTTTCCCTTCACAATGCAGTAAGGGACTTCCATTTTCCTGCAGAGTGCAGGTAACCAGACCACCAACTCGATTGGGTCGACATCGTGTGCAATCACCACAAGCTGTGCCTTGTTCTGCTCGATGAGGTAAGTCACGTGGTTAAGTCCATACTTCACATTAATAGGCTTCTTCGATTCAGAAGGCTTTCCCTCAGCCTCAGCCTGAGCCTTCTTCAAAAGACGGTCTTTCTTTGCGGCTTTGTCCTCTGGCCTATACTTCAAGAGAATCTTGAAGAGATTGGTTGCTGCCAATTGAGAATACACGATATATTAAACCAACTGATCATTCAAAGCCAAAGGCAACAAACATCTCCATTTCTAATAACAAACAGAGTGAGTAAACTTGAATAAGCAAGAGAATCTTGAAAAGGCTGGTTGCTACCAATTACAAATACATGATACATTATCTAAAGGAAACAAACATGTCGAGTTCTAATGACAAACAAAGTGAGTAAACTCGAAATAAGCGAGATGGGATTCAATTGCAAAGAGACTAACCAAGGTTCTTATCAAGAGTCTTGGTGAATTGGTTAAGAGCTGGAGGAACCTTCAACCTCTGCTTAAGGATACGCTTCTGTCTTTGAAGACGGATTGATTTTGGCCATTTGATGTAACGAGTAAGATCCTTCTTTGGAGGCAAAGCTCCACCGATACCGAATTGCTTTGGCCTTCTCTCAAACAGAGGATTCGTAACTCTCTCCTATAAAAACCACAAATCTAATCAGATTCCAACAAAAACTTGATGCTTAGAGAAGATTCAACAATGCTAGTGAACATACCGGCTTCTTCTTGGTAGCCACTTTCACTCCCTTTTTGGGTGCCTAAGAATCGAATAAACAGTGATAAGAATCAGAAACAAGACACTAACTCGGTGCATTCACAAGACACAAAGGCTAATTCATGCAACCATCGAGAGAATTAAACGATTAAATCCAGATTCAGAGAGCGAGAACCAAATACGATTTCAGATTCCACGCATAGATTGATGCAGAACAAAATTCGAGAATTGAGCCAAGGAAACAAAGAACTGATAGATCCAATACAAGAGAAACTGATAAAAATGATCAAAGGAAAATTCGGCGAAGAGGAAGAGCGGCAAATGAAGAACATACCATCGTTATCGATTTCTGGAGGTAGAGACGGCGGAGAGGAAGAGCGGCAAAACAAGTGAAATTAGGGTTTTGTGTATCACTACTTATAAAGAGTCAAAGACAAAGAGCGAGTGATATTACATTTTTGGACACGTATGCATAGCAAGCGTATAAATTTTTTTTTTTCCTCATCTCAAAGGTAAAATGTAAATTATTTTCTGGACATGACACCAAGAAAATTAAGCATATAATTTTATCTTTTTTTAGGTTTACATAAGTTCAATGATATTTTTTTTTTCATTTTTGTTTACAAAACACATATAAATTGTATAATAAGAAAATTGGTAGATATGAAAATGAGTGAACACAACTATATTACTGTATTTTTGAAATTAACTAACTTTTCAGTTTAAATTGGCTCAGTGGCTTATTTAGGAACATAAAATGAAATACATTACAATCGTTATTAAAATCAGTATACACTTGGGGAAAAAAAAAAGGGTATACACTGTTCCACTATTAAATCAAATGCGGTTTTGGGTTCTTTTTGTGTTTAATTGGAGTACATGAATACAAAGACAAGACCAAAATTGTGGTCTATGTCTATAGAAAATCGACCAGAGTCCAGTCAACGGGTATGATCTTACACGGTCCAATTCAAAAGACACAATGTCTTGATGAATAGACTTGTCTGAAACCTACAAGTCTATTTAATGTTCTGATGTTCGATGAATGTAACGTTAAGAGCAAAACTGATACAAGAAGTGTTTTTTAAAATCACCTTAGTCTTGTTTCAGATCTGTCCTGGTTGAATTAGCCAAAACACTAAACACAGACACGAGCCCAGCTGTTGCAATAACATGAGTCCATTTTCTTGTCCGAATAGCAACCGCTGCCCCAGCTACAGCTCCTCCAACCATAGCATTAACCTGAATAGTCCATCCAAGAAAGTGACTGACTAATCAAGATTTATTACTTAATGAGATGAAAACGCTCTAATAAGGACTCAATATACAAAAAAAGATATCTTTGCATCTAACCCAATCATTCTTGCCTCGATATCGCTGAACGGCACAATGGGTCATAGTGAAAACACCACTCACAAGACCTGAAAGGGAAACAAAAACAATGGCTTATTGATGCATATACCAAATCCAAAAATGAGAGGCATTTACTAGTCCAAGATTTAGAACTCAGTTACATCTAGACCACCAAATGTGTTACACCTAAGACATTTGCATTTATATCACATGGAAACCAAAACAGGGCAAGAAGATCATCTAAGCCTAGAATTTCATAACCAAAACTACATTCTTCTACTCAAATTCCATAGTCACTGAGGATGAATCTCCAATGTAA